ACCTGGGAGAGAGACACATTTTTGTTTATTTCATATTTAACTTTCAGATTATTCTCATTGAGATGTTAAATGGCTAAAATAGCAGCATATATAGTTACAAACAATGACCAACAACATATTTAGCACAAAGTTAAGGTTTTGTCCATGATTTTGTCCATGATTCAGGGTTGACAATAGACTCTGCTTTAATGTATCAGACAGCTAGACAAAGCCCCCAACACAATGAATCTGCTACATGGCATATATTATAATAAAAAGCCAGTTTTTCCCAGGTACCAAAAGAGAATAAACAACGCCCACACAGACAGACAGAGTGGTGGTTAAGGTTGGCATGGTGACAGAGTGGTGATTAAGGTTGGCATGGTGATAGAGTGGTGATTAAGGTTGGCATGGTGATAGAGTGGTGGTTAAGGTTGGCATGGTGATAGAGTGGTGGTTAAGGTTGGCATGATGATAGAGTGGTGGTTAAGGTTGGCATGGTGATAGAGTGGTGGTTAAGGTTGGCATGATGATAGTGGTATTTAAGGTTGCCATGGTGATAGGGTGGTATTTAAGGTTGGCATGGTGATAGCGTGGTGGTTTTGGTTGGCATGGTGATAGAGTGGTGGTTTTGGTTGGCATGGTGATAGAGTGGTGGTTTTGGTTGGCATGGCGATAGAGTGGTAGTTTTGGTCGGCATGGTGATCGCGTGGTGGTTTTGGTCGGCATGGTGATCGCGTGGTGGTTTTGGTTGGCATGGTGATCGCGTGGTGGTTTTGGTTGGCATGGTGATAGCGTGGTGGTTAAGATTGGCAGGGGGGCTGGCAGAGAGACTCACCCCAGCGCAGCAGCACCTCTCTGGCCTTGGGCTTGCCCACCACGTGGGGCGGCTGGCACTGCCCTGGAGGCACCGCAGGAGTCTGGACCTGCAGAGTCTCTGACAGCTGGAACACAAGAACAACATGTTAGGATCAGACAACACAACAACAACAACAACAACAACATGTTAGGATCAGACAACACAACAACAACATGTTAGGATGAGACAACACAACAACAACAACATGTTAGGATGAGACAACACAACAACAACATGTTAGGATGAGACAACACAACAACAACAACATGTTAGGATGAGACAACACAACAACAACAACAACAACATGTTAGGATGAGACAACACAACAACAACATGTTAGGATGAGACAACACAACAACAACAACAACAACATGTTAGGATGAGACAACACAACAACAACAACATGTTAGGATGAGACAACACAACAACAACATGTTAGGATGAGACAACACAACAACAACATGTTAGGATGAGACAACACAACAACATGTTAGGATGAGACAACACAACAACAACATGTTAGGATGAGACAACACAACAACAACATGTTAGGATGAGACAACAGTATTTGGATAGGGAGACAAGACAACCCTCCATCTGTAAATAGGTAGGACAGCCTTACTCCCTGCCTTACAAACACATTTATATTTCAAATTATACAACTGATGAAAAACAATACATTAGCACAGTATCTATACATACGTAGGGAGTTTTAAAAATGTAGGACTACACTGCATATCATTGCCATGTTGATCTGCTGTGTATGTCCAGAGAAGACAGCCACCCAACGTATGAGCATTATGTCACGTTATTCAGCAACCCCACAACAACAACAAAAAAACCCGAAACACTTAACAAAAACAAAAGCTTGGCATCATGAGTCATGTTTCTCCACGCCCTCAATGAATAAAGGCATTGATGCAGTAATATCATACAACAGCTGAACTGGCTAATCAACAATTAGCCCAGCTTCCTACACCATTGCGGCGAGGGTTAACTCATTACAGCCCTCTGTCTTGCGCGTACATATGGTACGAGTCCCAAATGGCACCCTATTCCCTGTATAGTGCGCACTACTGAGCCCTAAGTAATGCACTATACAGGGAATAGGGTGCCATTTGGGACTCGTCCCCATGAAGAAGATCATTAATGACCTCTACACGAGAAAACAGATGAATGGCAATCTCCTATTAGAAGCGGGCCAGAATTAGACGGCATGGGCATAACTGGAATAAATACCCCTAGTGTCATTTATCAGATCATTATGAAGCAGAGGATCAGACCACACACAGCTGAGAGAGAAACAAATCTGTGGAGAGAGTTTAGAAGTAGAAAGATATATCTAGAGAGAGTTTAGAAGTAGAAAGATATATCTAGAGAGAGTTTAGAAGTAGAAAGATATATATAGAGAGAGTTTAGAAGTAGAAAGATATATCTAGAGAGAGTTTAGAAGTAGAAAGATATATCTAGAGAGAGTTTAGAAGTAGAAAGATATATCTAGAGAGAGTTTAGAAGTAGAAAGATATATCTAGAGAGAGTTTAGAAGTAGAAAGATACAGTGGGGGGAAAAAAGTATTTAGTCAGCCACCAATTGTGCAAGTTCTCCCACTTAAAAAGATGAGAGAGGCCTGTAATTTTCATCATAGGTGCACGTCAACTATGACAGACAAAATGAGGGTGGCTGACTAAATACTTTTTTCCCCCACTGTATATCTAGAGAGAGTTTAGAAGTAGAAATATATATCTAGAGAGAGTTTAGAAGTAGAAAGATATATCTAGAGAGAGTTTAGAAGTAGAAAGATATATATCTAGAGAGAGCCATGCAAATAGAAGGAGATAGAAATAGATGTGTTTTCTTGTGTTAGCTATATCACGAGTGACAGAGACACAGCGGTGAGAAACATCACCGACAAAGAAAGATACGGCTGGTCCGAAGCTCTCACGGCTGCGAGGACTGCGTGTCGTTCGCTCGAGTACATGCAGAGTTGTATATGTGTGGGTGCAGTAAGGTGATGACTCACTGGGCTCTGGCCCCCCTCACTCATGCAGTAAACTCTGGTCTGGTAGGAGTGGCCTGGTTTCAGCCCCTCACACGCATGCTCCATGGCTGGACCACTGTACGCCAGCTCCCAAGACACGCCTAGAGACACACATACAGGGGGACACACACACACACACACACGGACAGACACACACACAAACAGAGAGACATGAACACATGAAGAGACACACACACACACAGAAACACACACTACTAAGCGATCTTGTTCTTGTTAAATACTGTGCCTTCAGAAAGCATTCATACAGTAACCCCTTGACTTATTCCACATTTTGTTGTGTTACAGCCAGAATTCAAAATTGATTAAATACGTGTTTTTTTCTCTCACACATCTACACACAATATCCCATAAGGACAAAGTGAAAACATGTTTTTATACATTTTTGCAAACGTACTGAAAATGAAATACAGAAATAGCTCATTTATATAAAGTATTCACACCCCTGAGTCAATACATGTTAGAATCACCTTTGGCAGCGATTTCAGATGTGAGTCTTTCTGGGTAAGTCTCTAAGAGCTTTGCATAGCAGGATTGCACAATATTTGCACATTATTCTTTTAAAATTATTCAAGATCTGTCAAGTTGGTTGTTGATCATTGCTAGACAGCCATTTTCAAGTCTAGCCATTAGATTTTCATTCCGATTTAAGTCAAAACTGTAACTCGGCCACTCAAGAACATTCAATGTCTTCTTGGTAAGCAACTCCAGTGTATATTTGGCCTTGTGTTTTTAGGTTATTGTTCTGCTGAAAGGTGAATTTGTCTCCCAGTGTCTGTTGGAAAGCAGACTGAACCAGGTTTTCCTCTAGGATTTTGCCTGTGCTTAGCTAAAAAAAACTCCCTAGTCTTTGTCGATGACAAGCATACCCATAACATGATGCAGCCACCATCATGTTTGAAAATATGAAGAGTGGTACACTGTGTTGTGTTGGATTTGTCCCAAACAGGCTTCCTTCTTTTCACTTTGTCATTTAGGTTAGTATTGTGGAGTAACTACAATGTTGTTGATCCATCCTCAGTTTTCTCCTGTCACAGCCATTAAACTGTTTTAAAGTCACCATTGGCCTCATGGTGAAATCCCTGAGCGGTTTCCTTCCTCTCCGGCAACTGAGTTAGGAAGGACGCCTGTATCTTTGTAGTGACTGGGTGTATTGAAACACCATCCAAAGTGTAGTTAATAACTTCATCATGCTCAAAGGGATATTCAATTTCTGCTTTTTTCTTTACCCATCTACCAATAGGTGCCCTTCTTTGTGAGGCATTGGAAAGCCTCCCTGGTCTTTATGGTTGAATCTGTGTTTGAAATTCACTGCTCGACTGAGGGAACTTACAGATAATTGTATGTGTGGGGTACAGACGAGGTAGTCATTCAAAAATCATGTTAAAACACGATTATTGCACACAGAGTGAGTCCATGCAACTTATGTGACTTGTAAAGCAATTCTTACTCCTGAACTTATTTAGGCTTGCCATAAACAAAGGGGTTGAACACTTATTGCCTCAAGACATTTCGGCTTTTCATTATTGAATTTGTAAATATTTCTAAAAACATAATTTCACTTTTACATTATGTGGTATTGAGTGTAGGCCAGGGACACAAAATCTCAATATAATCCATTTTAAATTCAGGCTGTAACACAACAAAATGTGGAAAAAGTCAATGGGTGTGAATACTTTCTGAAGGCACTGTATCTTGAAAACTACTGTGGGTTGCTAAAAAGCACTACACAAATAAAACAGATTACTGTTATCAAGTTTCTCCTTCTGTTTTTCTTGCTCTCTGGGGTTCAGGCTGGGTAACTGGAAAGCTCTCTCTGGGGTTCAGGCTGGGTAACTGGAAAGCTCTCTCTGGGGTTCAGGCTGGGTAACTGGAAAGCTCTCTGGGGTTCAGGCTGGGTAACTGGAAAGCTCTCTGGGGTTCAGGCTGGGTAACTGGAAAGCTCTCTCTGGGGTTCAGGCTGGGTAACTGGAAAGCTCTCTCTGGGGTTCAGGCTGGGTAACTGGAAAGCTCTCTGGGGTTCAGGCTGGGTAACTGGAAAGCTCTCTGGGGTTCAGGCTGGGTAACTGGAAAGCTCTCTGGGGTTCAGGCTGGGTAACTGGAAA